TCTCTAACTCACAGGGATGATTTAAAAATGATTAAACTAAGATATGGGAAAGAAGTTAGAATAATATACCTTCATACCTGGAAGGGATCTTAGAGATCTATTCTAGCCCGTTTATTTTACAGATGTAGTAACTGAGGCCCTGAATGAATGAATGAAAAAGTATTTATTAAGCATCGTGTGTCAAGTACTATGTTAGGTGCTGGGATACAAATACAAAAGCTATACAGTCTCTGCTTTCAAGGAGTTTAAATTCTAATGGGGGAAGCAACACATAAAATAGAGGGCTTGTGGCCAGAGAAAGGTTTTTTGGTTCTGGAAGTCACAGAGATAGCAAATGGAAGTCTATATGACAGTTCCTTTCCAGTGGCAATGGTAGTATTGATTTGATTATTACTAGAGGTGGAAAGTGAAGAGTAGGTTTGGGTGGATTGAGAAGAAGGAAGGAGGATGTGTTCACAGTGACAGGGCAGAAAAACCTTTAAATTTGCCTACTGTGTGAGTTAGTAGCAATCTAGAACCCAGTCTCCTGATTACCAGTGTGCCTTTGAGCTTAAAGAAAAAAATATATGTTAAGAAGCAGTGGCATGATGTAGTGGAAAGAGAACTTAATCTGAAGTCAGAGGAGAAGACCTATGTTCTAGTCTTGGTTCTGCTACTTGTCACCTGTGTGGCCTTCGAAAAATAATTTTGTTTCTCTGCGCTTCAGTTTTATCAGTAAAATGAAGAGTTGGACTCAATGATCTCTAAGGTCCTTTCCAGATCTAATATGATCCTATGAATGCAACGTAACTGTAGTAATGTCCCATCATAAAGTGCAGTGATACTTGCTTAGCTGAAAATCATTGATCTAATAAATTTTGCCTATTCTGAACATGCCTAAGAGTCAGCAAGTCAGCAAAAAAGGCACCTGAGTGGCCAATTGATGCAAACGGTAGGCCTTCTACTTGTAAAGAGAGCTTTTAAAGTCTTCATTCAACCGTACTTAGTAATTTTGCATATAATTCTGGTTACCTGGTTTCTGAGCTCCCAGAAGATTGGATGCAGTAAATTAGAAGGGGAGAGTAGTAATGTGATGATACAGAATAGAAGTCACTTTTGTTCATCAAGAGAAAATCTAGGTTCACCATGGATAAAGAGTCTACAGGTTAAGTACCACTTTGATAGAAGGAATTTAAAGGTAATGGGGTGAGGAAGTATATGTACAGAGGAGGAAGGAAAAAAGATATTTGGAACTGATGAGAATGACATCATCTCATCAATAATCTAACCTTTTGAGCACCTATTATGTGCAATACATTGGAGGGAAAGAAAAATAAATTAAAAATAGTTCCTGTTGTCAAGAAATTTACAATCTAGCTGAGGAATTTGTAATATTGTATAGCAGAAAAATCACTGAACTAGGAACCCTGAAACCTAAGCCTTGGTCCTGGCCCTGCCACTGATGAGCTCTATGACCATGGATATGTCATATATACCATTCTGGTCCTCAGGTATCTGTCAAATGATGAAATTGGATTAGATTGTCTGTAAAGTCTTTTCTAGCTGTAACATTCTTTGTTATACACTCTTATTACCTAAAAAGATCTGTGCTATTTTCTGTGTGAATATTACCCAACTCCCCACCAAAATAGATTATTACCCCTTCATATCTTAGCAGATGTTTTCATAGAATCACAGAATTTTAGTATTGGAAGAGACCAACCTATACCTGAATGAAGACACTTTATATAACATTCCTATCAAATGATCAGTCAGCCTTTAACTGAAGACCTTAAGTTAGCCTCTCAAGGTACTGTATTCCAATTTTGGATATTTCCAATTGTTGTTAAGAATTCTTTATGTTGTTATTCAACTGTTTCAGTTGTGTGACTTTCTGTGACCCTGTTTGGGGTTTTCTTGGCAGAGATACTTGAAGGGTTTGCCATTTCCTTCTCCAGCTCATTTTATAGATGAGGAAACTAAGGCAAATGGGGTTAAGTGACTTGCCCAGGGTCACATAGCTAGTAAGTGTCAGAGGCTTGATTTGAACTGAGGAAAAAGAGAGGCAGCTAGGTGGTGCAGTAGATAGAGCACTGGCCCTGAAGTCAGGAGGAGCTGAGTTCAAATCCAGCCTCAGACACATAACACTTATCAGCTGTGTGACCCTGGTCAAGTCATTTAATCCCAACTGCATCACAAAAAAAAAAAAATGAACTCAGGAGAAAAGAGTCTTCCTGATTCCAGGCCCAGTGCTGTATACACTGTACCACCTAGCTGCCCTAAGCCTTAATTTGCTTTTTTTTGCATCATCTATCCATCGTTCCTATTTTTGCCTGTATGGGACCAGACAGAACAGTTTAATTCCTTTTACACTTGACAGTCTTTCTCACCTGAAGAAGGTCATCATACTGGGGCCTGATCCCAGCTTTCTCTTTTACAGGCTAAATATCCACAGGTCCTATAACTCATCTTCATAGATCATAAACTTAAGGCCTTTTATCAACCTGGTTCCCTCCTTCAGTTTAATATTGTTCTTTCTAAAATGCAGCTTTCATGAGATGCTATGGCCAAAAAACAGTCATTACCTCATGACCAACTAGAGGCCACAGACTCCTGGCAGCTTTGGCAGCATGCCTTTCTATCCTTAGCTAGACTAGTACTTAAGCCACAGACACGAAAGTCTGGTGCTGGGCCCATGCTCAAAGCTTTTCCAGCTTGGTGGGGTCTATCATAGTTTGTGCACTGCCAGCACAAAAACCTAGGGTCGCCTCTATTTCATTAAGAGGCAATGTAGGACCTTAGTGGAGAATATCACTATAATTAGAGTATAATAAAGACATACTTCCTTTGATTTTGTACTTCATTTTGATTTTAAAGTGACTGAGTTTTTTGAGACTGTGCCAGTAAGAAAGAAAGTACTGACAGGTCTTCACCAAGCTGGAAAGGCTTAATGTATAGAATCAAAGACAGACCTGAGGACCAGCCAAAAGAAGTCTGAAGAGATTCATCATCAGGTTGATTGGAGGCTGATGAATATTTGGACACAGAAATTCGTGAAGATAATTTACCTTTAAGTATAAGTGAAGGGAGGGGGAATATGATCTACATTAGTAGAGAGAATACTTAGAGCCCGTGGTATCATAGATCTAAGTATTGAAGTACATAACTGTTATTAATTATTATTTACTACATGTGTATATTAAACTATTACTAATTAATTCACTTCTGTTTGATTACTCAGTTATGTGAACTAAAGGACTGTTTAATTCATAATGTGGCATTAAAAAAGCATAAAACTCAAATTAAAAAGCCTTATATAACATCAAACCAGAACTTTCTAGAATCCATTAAGGACAATAGGTCAGAAAATGACCATCATTTTGGAATATAGGATACTTACATTTCAACAAAGCACCTAACAATAGTAATTATATAATTGCACATATATAACCTATTTAAAATTCTTACCTTTTTAGGGAGGGAGGTGGGGAGAGAGGGAGAAAATATGGAACTCAAAAATTTTTTAAAATAAATGTTAAAAATTATCTTTACATGCGATTAGGAAAAATCTATTAAAATAATAATGATAGCTAAGATTTATACACCTCTTTAAGATTTGCGAAGTGCTTTCCCTTGTGGATAAAATGGAAAAGGATATCCTGCTACTCTTCTGGACAAGATGGAACAATATGGCCTAGAAGACTATACATATGGGCATGTTTGGAAGTGGTTGAATATCTTTACCTAAAGAATAGTCAATGGATCTCTTGTCATCTTAGAGGGATGTAGAGTAGTCTAGGCAGCTTTTCTTCAACTTTTTTTTAAATCAGTTATGAATGAAACCATAGATGTTTTGTTTATCCAACTTTTAGACAATGAAAAGCTAATCAGGATAGCTAACACACAACAAAGTCAGGGTTCAAAAATGTTTTTGTAGGCTAGAACAATGGAGAAAGTATAAGATAAAACTTAATAGGTTACATAAAATCATAGGATGTTTGAGCTGGAAAGGATCTTAAAGATCATCCAGTATAGTTCCCTTATTTTAAAGATAAGGAAACAAGTAGAAAAGAGAAGTAACTTACCCTTAAGGTCACATAATAGGTAAATGACAGAGCTATGACTAGCAAGATTTTAAACTTCCAGTATAATACTCTTTCCAATATATTTTGTCTTCTAAAAATATTTTAAAAAAAACAACTAGAGACCACAAGTAAAGACTTTTGCGCAAAAAGAAAACAAATTAACATACTATTGATATGGGCTGAATCTGACTTCAGGTTTCTTGTCTGTTAGGTGAGATTAGATTAGAACAAGGGTTCTTAGCCTGTCATGGACCCCTTTGGCAGTTTGGTGAAGACTATGGACTCCTCAGAATAGTATTTTTAAATGCATAAAATAAAATGCATAAGAGGGAAGTAATTATATTAAAATACAGTTATCAAGATATTTTAAAAATCAAGTTCATGGACCCCAGGTTAAGAACCCCTGGACTAAAGGAAAAGGTTCCAAAGTCCCTTCTAATACTAAGATTCTGTATTTCTCAAGTATTCAAAATGCAAGCCTATTTGGTTTATATAGTATGAAGAACAAATTGGGCACAGCTGCAGGAATGTGGGACAAAAGTCACAGCTCCAGCCTTTCTCAGCCAAGCTAATTGAAATTTCAGGGTAATCTGCATGTACCAAGAATACCTGTCAGGGGTAAAATGGAAGTTGAAAGGAATTTACTTACCTGGACCTAAATATCATACAGGGCTGAAGAAATTTTGGAGGAGTGAAGTGAGGAAAGCAAAGTGATTTTAAAAGATAGGTTTAACTTAAGGGACTTTTTCACTGGCTGACTGGGCAAGCCCAGTGTCTGCTTCACCAAAGACTTGAAATTGTCCTGAGGCAATGGGCTGTTTTCCAAAAAGAGCTATCAACATTCATCTTGCAGGAAAGAGGTTACATGGCATCTGCAATTCTGTATAGTGTCAGCAGATGGCAGTATACACACAGTAGACGACCTATTAAGCAACATTCTATGGAGAAACAACTTAGAGGCATTGGAAACCTGGGGGTGCTCTGACTGGGAGGCAGACCTAGGAGCATGAGTTGCCAGGTCGACAAACGTTCCCTCTCCTACCGATCATGTGGGAGAGTGAATCCTTGTGTATACGATTGTGGATTGTGGAAGTTATTCTTTGTTATTTACCTTGCTACTCTCTTAAATGCCTTGGATTTGAGGTCAGTGCTTCCGCTACTTTGGTCTGGTAAAAATGCAGTATGGGGTGGAGGTTTACAAGCTGTAAGTCTGAATAAATGCTGACCCAAAATGTACCTTGAATCTGAGTGTAGCCTTTAGGGGACCATGTCTGAGAGGTACTCAGGTTATATGTGAATGTGAATAAGATTTATAAGCCCTATTTTGACTTTTAAATATTTCCTGATAAACTAATTAAAATTTCAACTTCTTCACAGACATGGTCTGTTCCTATTCTTAAAGCCTTTACTAAACAAAATTCATTCCAGAAAACTGTAGGATTTCTTCTATTTATCTGAGTGTTTTAGTCATGCCTTGGGGCCACAGTTGGGACTGACAGAATTTGAAGTACTAACTTTTTTTCACCATGTACTTCAATCTGTTAAGACACTCTGAAAGCTGTATCTATGTGTATGTATGTGCACACACACATAGCAGAACCAGTTCTCCCAGAACACTTTATAAAGATAGTTTAGTTACATTATGTCCTTTCCTTACCCATTTCCTGTAACCTCCCACCCCCAACCATCAGTTTGCAGATCGTTCCACTTGTTCTCTCCTCCATTCAATTTAATCCAATATTGATTTAAGGGTTCTCTCCAGGCACATTTATAGATTAGGCAGAGCAAAGCAGAGGCACCAGAGAGAAATACAAAGTTTAGAATGTCCAGGATATCTGTCCATATGACTCTTAACACCTAACATGATTCATATGTAGCTATTATATGAAATAATTCGTGATTAGTGCATTAGAGAAATGCCAGCAAAATGCTTCGTGAGATCTGAGGAATAAACGCTCAGGACTGAAGGAGGGTTAAGGAGAATCTTCATAGTCAAGGGGGTCTTTGGGTTAGGTGATAAAGAATTCAGCAGGCAAAGTGGGAGAGGGAAGATATTCTTCATTTGGGTAATATAAGCAAAGGCCTGGAGCTGGAAAAATCCAGTGTCTTTGGACTGCAAGTAGTATTGTTTGACTGGAATGTAAACTACATGGAGAGGAACAGTGTGAGATAAAACTGGAAAGGGAGGGTGGCATCAGATTAGGGATAACCTTAAATGCTAGGCAAAAGAATTAGAACTTCCTGAAGGCAAGAGGGATCCTTCCATTTCTACATCTCACCATAAGGCCTGAAAAGGGGAAAAAATATTATCCAATTAGCCAACAGGTGTCACTCAAACATAAACCTTTGGAAAGAACACAAAACTTAGAATTACAAAAATATAAATCTTGCACACATGAAACTCAACAGCACTGCTATATTTTCTCCAGTTTCTATGATTCTCATTCTTCTTCAAAGCACTTTTTCCTTGAGTTAGGAAGGAATTAACATATATGCCAATGTCTCATATTGACAGAGTGCTGAACGGGCAATTTTAAAAACAACATACTGATCTGGACTTTGTGATTCAAGTCATGTGGAGAGCTCCTAATGTGGAAATCCCTCCATGGATCCAGGTGAGTAATTAATCTGTAACTTAATAATATTAAAGTGTTGCCTGGATAAACCAACAGGTTAAGCAACAGGTCAAGTGACTTCTCCATGGTCACCCAGCCATCATGTTTCAGAAGCAAGATTTGAACCCTAGTCTTCCTGATGCAAAGCTGGCCCTTTATGCCAAGCCAATCTTGGATGGGCATTGTCTCTTTATGTAGCCCAGCTTTACTTTCCAGTGTATGACCCAAACACTGAAGTATGAACATATGAGGAAATGCTTCAAATGACAAATCTGGAATTACTTTGTCCTATTACGAGATTTCCTTGAAAGAAAAAACTGCCCCCCTTTCATAACAAATCACATTTTGATTGTGGCTTTGTGGTGATCAAGTGCTTTGCACATATCTTTTCACTTAATTCTTGCCATATCCCTTTGAAGTCAGTACGACAGGTATTATCGTCAACATTTTATAGCTGAGGAAACTACTTGGAGAGATGTAGGGACTTGCTCAAAGTCATACCTTAAGTAAGTGACCCAGGACTTTAAACCAAGTGTTTGACTTCTGATACATTGCATTTTCTAGTACATTACAATGTGTCTACTATGTAACCTAAACTTACAAACACCTTGGAATCAAAATTAAACATTTTCTCTTCTTACCATAAACTAACAAGGAAGGGGAAAAGGAAGGAACTAGATGTATCTGCTGATGACCATTTTTCATCAAAAAAGTAGTAAAGGAGGCTGGCTGGTTGTGCTTTAGCATCAGGAATTCTTCACAGTGCTTTTCACATTTCTACAATGCTTTATGGTTTACAAAGCACTTTCTCATCCATTTACCACCACCTCATTTGAATCTCACTCTGTAAGGCTAGCAAGACAACAACGATTAACCTTATTTTGTAGGTGAGAATCTGTGTCCCAGAGAGATTAAATGACTTGCTGGGCCCCTTGGGGTGCCATGATGGTCACCTTGATGTAGTATTCTAGTCTCTTGGCCATATGTGTCTGAAACCTTGATGCTCAGCTTAGCTCATCTAGGAGCAATCAGAATCATTAAAAAAAATTAGTTTATACTCCAAGTTCTCATGTTGGTACCAGAAAGGCAACTGGTAACATAATGTGGGTTTGTCCTTTTTTTTTTTCTGTCCAGAGGATACATATCTCAAAACTGGGGCATGTAGGGACTGGGAAAGGCCTCTTGCAGAAAGTTGGATTTCAGCTACATCTTGAAGGAAGTCAGGGAAATCCAGAAGCTGAGGGAAGGAGAGAGAATGTACAAGGCTTGGGGTACAGTCAGTGAAAAGGCAGAGTCAGGAGGAGTGTGCTGTGTGAGGGATGAAAAGGATGCAGTGAAATAGAGGAGAGATCTAAGACGATAGCTTGAAAACAGTCAAGGAACAGCTTTTTAGGAAAGTGGAGAGCAGAACATGTTGGGTACACTGCATGGTAAGAGCTATAGAATTTGGAGAAGCAATGATTGACTGAGCAAAGGAAAGAGATTAAAAACAAACAAATACTTTCAGGCGAGTCCCCTGTCAGGCTTCACTTTACTCACAACTGGACTCTGGACTTCTGTTCTTCAGCCACTGTGACCTGACATGAGTACATTTCTACCTGCCCCCCTTTCTGCTTCCTTTTTTGTGTTGTCTTTCCCCATTAGAATGTAAGCTTCTTGAGGGTAGGGACTGACTTAGTCACATGTATTTATAGCCCCACTGCTTAGCACAGGATCTGGCACATAGTAAGTGCTTAACAAGTGCTCTACCTTTCTATCTAAGTGGAGCTCGTGCTGATTCTAATCTAGCCACGAGGATTTCTGTAGGTACTCAATAGGTTGTGTTCATTTTAATTTCAGGAGTCTTCAGAGAGGCCTCATACCAGCTTCCAGCTCAGGAGAGAGGCCCACACCACGGAGCTCCTGGATTTGGGTTACATCAGGTTCCCCTTCCTGTCTGCCCTGAGGATGCCTGAGATGTTCATTTTGGTTTTGTACAAATAATAATTACAGTCAGTTAAGTCAACTACATTTCCCCCCAATTACCATGCAGCATAGTAACATTATACATGTCATTAAATCTGTGCCATGAGTTCTACTAAACATTTTATTGTATTATAACACTAAACTCCATTCCCATGTGCTCAAGTCTTTATTGTTTGTTGCTAATGTTAACATGATGTTCTAACTGCAACTTTAAAACATTAGAGGCAACTTGTGGCAAAATTCATGAAACAGCCAAATTTTCAAAGGTTTCTACTCACTTGCTACTCTACCCTGATATTTTTTGCTACGGAGTGAGAAGGCAGAAGTGTTGGTGTGTGGGTAACAAAGGAAAGGGTGACAGAGAGGAAGACCTAGGTCTGTCTGGAGGGGGTAGTCTCCCCTTTGACTCTTCATGAAATGAGTTCTCATCCCTGTGATTAAACAATAGTCTAATGTTTGAAGCTGTCCACTTGCTCCCCTATGAAGACAGTGCAGCTCACTGCTGAATAGCACTTCCTAGGTCATACTTCACTGTCTGGAAAAGGATCTCCTTTAACCAGAATTTTGCATCAGGTTGGGTACCACCTGAATCTTTTTCCTGTTCCTGTCTACTCTCTGCTATGCTGTGTCCTCAAGGTGTCTCTTAGACATCCTGACCTTTTTTGTTGTTCCTCTCTCATAAAATTTACCCATCTTGTGTCCTCTTAGAGCCTTATTGTTCAGCTAGGTAATGATAAGGTTAATCAGGTAAACTAGTCCGTGGTCATGCACTACCTAGCTAATGGGTTAATCCATCCCTCATCATCAGTTATGGAGTATCTGTGTCTATTCTAGGTGCGGAGGCATTACAATAAGATATAAACTATGGCCACTCCCCTTAAGATTAGAATCACACTCATGAAAAAAAGAACACTTCAAGACACAAAGTGCTAAATCATGTTGTACAGACAGTCAGCACTGGAGAAAATCATTGCAGGCTAGACGCAGTGCTTTAAAAAAAATATTTTTCTTAGGCAATTGGGGTTAAGTGACTTGCCCAGGGTCACATAGCTAGTAAGTGTCAAGTGTTTAATCTGAACCTGGATCTGAACTCAGGTCATCCTGACTTCAAGGCCAGTGCTCTATCCACTGCGCCACCTAGCTGCCCCAATACTGTGCTTCTTAAACTGTGGATCATGACCCCATGTGGTGTCGCAAAAAATTGGCAACAGTAAAAGGTTTCTGAATGCACAATGACCAAAAATTAATTAAAAACCAAACACGTAATGAATCCAAGGTGTTTCTAGCAGTGCTTGCCAGTGTTGGATCATGCAACTGCCAAAACATGAAAAGGGGTCGAGGGTGGAGAAAGTTTAAGAAGCTCTGTGCTAGAAGAGTTTCATGAAGGAAGTGGAACTTGGAAATTGGGTTGGATTTGGTTAAGGAGAAGAGAGAGGAAAAGCATTCTAGCTGTGTGTGGTGGTGGAAGGGAGACCCAGAGCACTGCATCTCTGAGGAACAGTAAGGAGGATGGTGTGGCTGGAGAAAAGGGCTTCTCCTGGGAACTAGCAGGAGATGGAGGTGAATCAGTAAAGTAGTTATCTACCCATTGCATATCAGGCAGAGTTTAAGTCAGGTGTGGAGAACCTGCAGCTTTGAGGCCACATGTGGCCCTCTAGGTCCTCAAGTGAAGCCCTTTGACTGAATGCAAATTTCACAGAACAAATCTCCTTGATAAAAGGATTTGTTCTGTAAAACTTGGACTCAGTCAAAAGGCCACATCCAAAGACCTAGAAGACCACATGTGGCCTTGAGGTCATAGGTTCCCTAGCCCTGGTCTTTGAGCAGAATATTGAAATAACATGCAGAATTACCTTTCTGGGTCTCTAAGGAACAATTCTACCCAATGAGCTTAAATTTCTTAAGTACTGTCCATGGGGCCAAGTAGCAGAAAGAATATTAATTTAGAGCAAGAGGATCTGGGTTTGATCTCAGTCATGTTACTAGCATTCCAAGTGTCAGGATGATGTGGGAGAAAGATACTGAGACTGGAGCAAACATGATCAATTTAGGGGTTAGTGAGGAGATTGACATGACTTGGGGAAAGGTCTTCATGTACCAGATGACTTTGACCATGCCACTTAGTCAAGTCAACAAACATTTATTAAGTACTTACTATAAGCCAGGTATTGGGCTTAGGGCCAGGAATACAAAGAAAGGGAAAAAAGTCTCTGCTATCAGGGAACCTTAAATTTAATGGGGGGAGCTCACGATCTAAGTGTTTGAGTCTAATTTTCTTCATATATAAAATGGGGAGGTTGGCCTAGACAATCTACCTCTAAAATCTCTTTCAGTTCTAAATCACTATGGTCCTATTAGCCTATGAACCCAAGGGGACACCCACTGCTGCTGCCCCTCGACACAGGAAAAATACAATTAAGCCCAGTATTCAGTGGGCTACTGGTCAAGCATCTGTTTGCCCTTGGGGTCATCAGCATTTTCTTTCCATTTTCTTCCCTTCACCCCTAAAGCAGGAATGGAGGCAGGTAAGTGGCACAGTAGATAAAGCCCTAGGCCTGGAGTCAAGAAGACTCAAGTTCAAATCCAGCCTCAGAGATGTGCTAGCTGTGTGACCCTGGGCAAGTCACTTAACCTTTGTTTGCCTCAATTTCTTCAGCAGTAAAATGGGGATAATAATAGCACCTACCTTGCATGAGAATGAAATGAGATAATACTTGTAAAGAACTTAGCACAGTGCCTGGCACAAGGTAAGCATTTAATAAATACTCATTCCCTCCCTCTTCCCCACCTGGCATCTCACCTTATTCCATCTAGGTATTGGAGTTTCCTGAGATATCACCACCACAAAACATAGTGGACTGGAAAGAACACTGCAGTGAGTCAACCTGTATGCTAACCGTAACTCTGCTCCTACCTTGTTTTTGTGGCCTTGAACAAGCAACTAACTATTTCTGTGCCTCAGTTTTCTTTTCTAAAAGTGGGGGGGTTGGACTCCATGTTCTATAAGGTCCCTTTTACCTCTAAGAGGTTATGCATCTAATCTTCGAGACAAATGAGACAAATGCCATATATGATGTATAATTCCTTTGTGGAGTATATTACTGAAGATTTTAAAGTTTTTTATAGATGGAGGAATGGAGAGTCTATAAAGCTTATAGTGGAATAAGAGGGCTTATTATCCCATTTGCAGATGGGAAAAGTGAAAAGTAACCTGATCAAGGTCTCGTGGCAAGTCCAGGGCAGAAATCTAATCCAAGTCTCTCTCCCTTTCATCCAATGCCTTTGATTCTTTTTTTTTTTTGGTTGAGTGATAAGAATTGGAAGAAAGTAGTATAGGCAACACTATGGCCTCAACCAAATCAAAATTAGTTTGCAGCAAAGATTTGTCTGGGGTAGGTAAAGCAGGCAGGGAGGTGACATTAAGTGGTTGTTTTCATCTCCTGGTCCTCAGTTTCCATATGCAGGTTGGACTGCAATGAAGGGAAAGGCTTCCCCCTCCCCCACTGCGCTGAGCCCAGAGGGACAAAGAAGGGGACAACAGAATCCTGGGATGTTTAGAGGTGAAAGGAATGGTAGAGATCATTCTAGTTCAACCCCCTAGAATTGTCCATGTGGCAATTGAGGCCCGGGATGTGAAATGACCCAGGCCATGAAATGAATAACTGCAACTCCCAAGTGACTGTGTAGGAAAAGACCTTCTTTACATTTTTTTTTTACCACTGCCACTCTCTTCTCTTTATCATTCAATAACACCAGTTCCCATGTTCTGCTCACATCCACAATTGGGTTTCTCATTTAGAACTATTCAAGGGTTACTCCTAAAATTGCTGTTAGATCATGGAAAAAAAACACCCTATTTGTCCAAAGATTTTTATAGCAACCTTATACATAATTGCAAGAAAAAACTGGAAGCAACCCAAATGTCCAACAATAGGAGAATGATAAATTAATTGTGGCCCATTAATGTAATGGAATACTGTAAAGCAATTAAGATGAGAAATTATGAGACATGCAAAGACATCTGTAGAGACCTTTATGAAATAATGAAAGTTTAAAAAAAAAAAGCAGAACCAGAAAAATAAAGCACACGCTCATATGAGAAAATGATATGAGGAAAGGTGAATGAAAATAAGTGGGTAAGGAATCCTGATGGGGACTTAATAGGAGTAACTGAAGAAGTATCATAATACTTTATGAATGGAAATGAATTAAAATGTAAATAGTTAATAAATAGATATAGTTGTGTTGATGATGAATGCTAAGTTTATAACAAAAATTTTAATTATAAAATAAACTACCTCATATTCTGTATGCTTATAAATTACTATGCTAAAGTACTAATGGTTTGGAGAATACAGATTATTTCTCTGCAAGAAATAGTATCATTTATAATGCAGAGGTATCTGTATGGTGTTGCTGGTAGAAACTTTAGCTCCCTTCTGTATTAACCACCTAAAAAACTTATATTTTCATTTTCCCTTATGTAACCTCAGATACGAGAGAACTATCTTGTCTCTCAACATAGTTGAGGGGAAAATAGGATCTGAATATATTCCAGTTGCTCAAGATCTGTTTTATCTTTTAACTGAGAAGAGATTACATAATTTTCATGTTCCTGCAGCATGTCTAAATGGTACGCAAAGTATAGTTCATAATTTAACCCAAACAAATTATCTAGCATGTCAATCAAAGCCCCACAAAGCAGCCACCTATCCATAAGCCTGGGCATTAACACTTTAATGCATTTATCCACAGGGGACCTAGAGGAACTGATTAATCATACTCACTCAAAACAAGGACACTGTTCTCCTTTAATGAAATCGATAAATACCTTTGGTGACATTTGTCATTGCCATAATAGTGCTTTTACTAGGAAATCCTTCTTGGGCCTGATCAGCTCCTATCCACTATGCCTCCAGTTAAGGTAACTATCATTAAATGAACAGTGGCAACTTGAGTTTGGTTGTAGGGACTAACAAATTGCCTTCCTCTTTTTCTCCAAAACATTTGATCATGGGCATGTGAAAGATATGAGATAAAATTCATTATGAGATAACGCTTTTTCTAAAAAAACAGAAATCTTCCTTATTCTTAAGGAGGAACTAGAATGAGAGAACCTAGTTGCCCTTAATGAATTCAAGGTGTCA